TATATATATATATATATATATATATATATATATATATATATATATATATATATATATATATATATATATATATGTTTGAGTGTGTGTGCGTGTGTGCATTTCTGATGGCAATACGTCTTTCCTTCAGATAATGTTCAGTATAGAAGTCTGATCTAAATCTGTGTTTGAGTCATGGATATCTTATAAAAAGTCTATGTAATTACTTTTAGGCAAAGATCGGCTTTAAATAATTTCGGCTTTAATAACTTGTTCTTGATCAACTTGGTGTATAAACATGATCTTAATACACAAGTTTCATGTTCGGCGTGTCTTGCACGTTCATCCTTTACGAGGTTGTTGCCATTAGCAGTCCCTTGACAAATGCCGCTGAATCCACAGCCTCGGCAATAATTTCTGTGACGAGAAAAAACTGGCGCCGTAGATCTGACGAACAGCAGGGGCCATATCCCTTACCTGCCCTCAAACTTACTCATGGGCATCCCTGCGTCCCAGGTGCATGTTGCTTGGCGAGATAACGTAACACGAGCATTCATAACACGAGCGTTCATCTAACAGAGAGGCTGTTACTACTGATGCGTGACTGAAAACATTGCTTGAGTCATCTTCATCTTTTGTTCAGAGCCTCGGATATAGGTGACTAAACATATTCTAGGAATTGCCTTTATGAAAATGAAAAAGACTTTAAGTAATGATATACTGCACAAAGGGAGTGTTATCGTGATGCAGCATATACTTACTCCTTAGAAAGACGGCAATGCGTGTCCCGAAAGAGTACTACGCACACCGCATAAACACCAACATATTTTTTGCATGGTTTTATTGAATGGACGGGATGTTCGGAGGATATATTTTTCAGTAAGAGTACATTGAAGCCTTCCGATTAGTAAGTTAATGTTGCTACCTTGTTAATTAATGCTATAGTTTTTGTCGAGTTAACACAGCGAAAATCAACTATAATCTTCATCTTCAAAACTGACTGTTCGATCTCTTTTACTTTCCTTTTATGTCACACACATTTTGTTTAAGTGCCATATTTCATATAGTTTATATCTTTCTTATTTTGTTTTGTAGATATTTGAGATGGATTCATCCATGCCTCTGAAGCCATAAACTTAACTCATTAATTCCATCCTTATCGCCGTGGGGCATTTTAAAGTATTATAGATTGTATCGCCATACCTTTCAGAGCTGCATTCAGACAACTTAACATTCTCTGTACTGCGACTTAATATCATTAACCAATGTTGAAGAAGGCAACTTCAAGTGGCGTTGACTTTGCTCTGTTGAATTTCAGGCGAATGGCTTTGACTTAGGTTTAGTGTCGCCGATTTACAACATGGGTTATGAAAATGCCCGTCCTTCCTAGTCAATAAGGGAAGTACAGGGCGCCATACGCTTTTCAGAAGGCGAAGCTGCTGATCTTGATGGTTATCCTTTACATATAGGGCTTCTGGTTTCCGGGATTTCCTCTGTCTCGGAATTCCGGCCAGTCAGCCTTTGTCTCTGAATTTCGAAATTTCTGGTTGTTCATTCTACTTCTTGTGCGAAGAAAAATCCGATGTACACTGCGCACTGATTAAGAAAGAAGAAAGAGAGACTAAGTATGTTATGTTGTGATTTAACATCGTTTTCAGATAGAGTGAAAATCGTTTATCCAAGAGTGTCAAGTAGATAAGGTTTATCTTTCAGAATTCTTTATCATAATGAGGAATTTCGGTAGACGGACGAGAAAAAAATTAATCCGTCATGCTTTAAGTTCGAAGGGGCGTTATACTTTAAAAATTGCTTTTCATAAAGTAAATGCCATCGATAATACGGTCCTTCGACATCTCATTTTTGTTACAACTAATCCCATTAGTATTAACATCAACTCCTCAACCCGGCCAGACACTACTAGTTAAAAGGACGCTGTGGAGATTTGCTACGTCTAGTTCGTGTATTGATCTGATTAATTTCAGCATTACCAGTAAAACAAACTTCGAAGATGAACAAAAGTAAAAAAAAAAAAAAAAAAAAGGGAAATAGATTAGTCTAATCGGTTATGAAAACTATTACACTGGAATAATCTTGAGTGACAATCCTTCCGGTGGTTTACATGTATACTGGCTTTGTTACTTGCATGAAAACTTTTTTTCATTGGCTTCCGGATGTTAAAATTAACAGCGGGCGATGTCACTGGCAGTCCATCGACCTCGCACTGGCCGATTTACCCGTGGATTTTCTGTAGGCAGATTCCCCTTTGCTATGGCTTCCTTGTATTGATTCAAGTGGTCTTCCCGACTACAATAACCACCGGAGGTTTCCAGCGATTGGCTGCCGGAACCATATCCGCACAATATCCTTCTTATGATAACAGATTGAATGTGTCATGATAAGAAGCAGTTTAAAATATCCACGATAAAAAAATCTAGCGACAATGTATTTAAAAAAATGGATTAAGTATATATATATATATATATATATATATATATATATATATATATATATATATAACCTTCAAAAATATTATAAAGGACGTTTTTAATTAGTTTAATTGTTAATCTGATAGCGATGACATAATGTGTGTCAAAGATGATTCAGTTTCCGGTGACATTCATGACTCACGTCAGACCGACGCTTTCCCGCAAAGTTTTACTTGGGCTTCCTTTCTTGCTTTTTTTTTATTTTAATTTTTAAAAATATTTTTCAGTTTCCACAGTACCTCACACTTCGTCACAATACTTTCACGGCTTGCGTAAATGGCTACAGTCGTAGGATAATGATTATTATATTAATAATTGCAGCAGTATGTGTCAGCTGAAGTAATACTGATAAAGGTAACAGACTGATAGGGATGTCTTTTGTCACTTAAGATATTCAAGATGGTGATAACACTGTAAAGGATCTAGGTAATGTACACACACATACAGACACACAAACACATAAACAGACACACACACACACACATGTGTGTGTATATATATATATATATATATATATATATATATATATATATATATATATATATATATATATATATATATATATATACACACACACACATACGAGTATATATATGTACACATATTTAATTATATATATATATATATATATATATATATATATATATATATATATATATATATATATATATATATATATATACACTAGATAACGCACTTATATGTGCTTTTCTTTCTATTGTTTGTAATTTTTTTTATCCCTTAAAGGACTAGATATTTTATAAACTCACGGTTAACTTTATATAAATAAGTAATTGTAGCAATTAATCTTCCATAAAATACAAAGAAATACACAAAGAGCACAACTCACTTCCGAGAAAGAAAATAGAATATATATAAATACTGTGTATGTACAAACATACCTAAGAGTGCAGTGCCTGCACGTCACACTTGCATGCAATACATACAAACTAGCACATTGCGCCGTCGCCGACACAGGGACAGGCGCAGACACGCATACGAACTTGCTAAAACGTCCAGATACACACGCTTTCAGAGAAACACTCGCATCAAAAACGCAGGCACATGCAAGCACGTAGATAGGCTACCCTTTAAAGCGACTGTTCTTAGAAAGAGCCCCACCCGGTCACACGTCTCTCGAGCTACGTTCAGATGCTAAGGATCCAGTAGACCTTTGCAAAAATATTTCGTCTTTAATTAAAAGTTTCTCCGTTGTTCTTTGCAGGCCATATCACGGTCAGCTGTCGGCTGCCATCATGAAACCACCTCATTTTTTCTCCTTCACAGGGTTGATTGGGAAGGGAGATCTTTTTTTTCTTTCTTTCTTTCTTTCTTTTTGCTCAGATTATGCAACTCTCCAACCATCGCTTATAGTTTCCTAAAGCAGCATCGCATGAGTGTCTGTTGACAGGAACGTACAGTCAATGAAACATTTCGAGGAATCGCCACAACGTCTCGCTGATTGGAATTGACTTGCACACTCTGCACGTAACGTTCGCTGCGTATCACTCGATATCAGCCTGCAAATTTAATCGTATTTAGGGTCTATTCATGTAACATTCACACTCTTCTATCCTGTTTCTTGTCATATCGCCTTTCCTATTACATAGGAGCTACATCACCATTTCCAAAAAACCTACCAGGTTTACCTTCCAGAATAGTCTTCTATAGACTCGTGTTCGCAATACACGGCGGTCTGTTTGTCACTGATGGCAATGTGACTATGAAAATGAATTTCCCTTCATCGAATTTTTGAGCTATTTAAAAAGAGGAACCTGTCATGTCGCCGCAAAACCTTTTCCCAAAAGTATCGTCCGTGTCTCCCTTTATTCACCGTTCGCTACAGATTTCCGAAACGAGTCGTTCACGGGATCTTTTTCATTCAAGAATCCTCCTTACTACACCTTTCTCGAAAGCGCCTTGTCGTTACGTTCACGAGCTCTTGAATTATTGCTTTCACATGCTTTCTCTAATAGCAGCAAGGGGTGTAAAACTGCCAAAGGGCTGACGTAGAGAAAGCAAGATGAGCGAATGAAAGCAGAAAATGTTCCGAAATTGTCGATAGCAGTAGGGAAACCTCGTGTCAGGATGTGTGGATGAGAAAATTGTAGAATCAAGAGGGTGTAAGAATAGTCAACAAGTGGTTGGTTCATTTGCTATTGCCTTTTAATCAATACGACCACACTAAAGTCGAACTTTAGTATGAGATTATCAGTAGAGAGGAAAGTCGCATGTGAGGAGTTTTCAGAAGCAAATTCGTAATTATACCAATAATCTCGAAATCTATCGAACTTTTCTGCCATTATGGGACTTATTGTTGGGTTTTATCTTTGACGGCTATAGAAGAGTTTTAAGAACAACAAGTAAAAGCTATTTGTCAATTATCCTCCGATAAATATATCAAGGAACTTCATAAAAGAATCGAATATGTTTTAGGGAATCTGCACATGACATAAATCGAGAATTGTATCAGTAACAAGCAGTCGGCACCGCAGAGTGCGATGTTCGTTTGTTTTTCTCCTCTCTGCTGCGACGAAGAGTCAGTCGTCTATACTCCCTGACTGAGGTGCGGCCATGTTTTGATTGCTGAGATGGAGAGCTTGACAAATTTAAGATAAAATGCCAAGTTGCAAGCCCAAGACACGTTTTATTCCGGCCACGTGTGCTTGGACACTTCTTCTAGCATGTACTACTCTATTTTTCGTCTACCCGTAAGTATTACAGTGTGAAAGTACAATGTAACCGATGGTCATGAAAAACGGAGAGTAAACAGGCCGTTGACTGGTGGCGAGAAATAAGCTTTTCTCCCGAGTTTCGTGCGAAATTGAAGCTTATTGTGTGTGCATAATGGACAGTTGAATGATTAAATCGCGCTGGGTCTCTTGGATTTAAACAAGATTGAGGAACACGAGCAATAATGAAGGGGTAATAGAGAGAAGGTGCCGGAGAAGCCATACCCGCTCCTCCCACACACCTTAAAATTCACACTTACCTTAAGACTAAATTTAAGAGTTTCTTGACACGGAACTAACGCTGTAGAGGGTGAAGCCAAAGTGGTATGGAGGTTACACTCCCTCTGGAATTCGATAGTTGGTCAATGGTTTGAAGTTGTTTTGATTAATGAATAATAAAGGGTGTCCTATCATTTAGGGGCTGAAATTGAGTAAAAAGGGAAAATGTATGAAATGACGCAGCGTACTTAATTCATAATGGCAATGAGCAATAGAGAGTACGAGTTTTAGGATCCATCGAGGCTTGACCTGTTAGCACAGTTGTTGTAGCAGTAGGGTTATTTCTGAGTTATTTAGAGCATGCCTTATTTCTCTAGTACCGCTTATTAGTCCATTAATTTTAGATATAGTCGATAGCAATCTTTGTTTCCTTTACCGTGTTTTGTCTTTTATAATGTTATGATTGTAGTATGTCTAAGTAGTGGTAGTTCTAATGGATGTAACCTATCAGAAAATACTCACTGTATTGCAAGAGTTGGAAGGTCTATTTATAGTAAATCATTCCCCATCTTATTCTAACATCAAACAACTGAACTTCTTAAAATACCGTGCTTTATGAAATGTTGTATAGAAGACCACAGACTGATGCGGTCTGGAACAAATCACAACTCTGATCTGCAAAGATGTTATATTAGAGTATCACAGGGCATCATAGCTATTTGAAACAAGAGGTAAAACATTATTTTGAACAATATATATTGAGAGCACTAATATTCTCATATTTTATGAATCCCATTTTGAAATAAAGGTTGCTGATATAGTACCAAAATTATAAACTTGGACAATCAGAAAATAAAGAACATAGTGACTTTCCTTATTCAGTGATATCTTAGAGTAGAAATTGCACCAAACTCTGACACACAGTTTAATCAAGTGAAGCATTGAGACCTTCACTTAGTGATGCTGTGTGTGTAATTGTGTTTGTCTAGCAATCTTACTGACCTGCATTCAAATCCCGCACTGCCAGTGGATGGTAACCCCGGCCATTCTTTGCACACACAGTAATTTAGAGGCAAAAATAAACGGACAGCATATCACAACAAGCATAAGAATAACCGTTATGAGAAATGGAATAAAACAAATCTGTTATTATTAATATTAATTGTACAGGTGTAGGGTACTG